GATATGTTGTTTACGATTTTGTGGTGATTGTGTAGGAGTATTAGTTTCCTATTTGGTTTGATCTGTATAATTTTTGATGATAGTTTTCTGCGTCACACTTCATGTGGGTCACCCTGTACATCTTGACGATAACCCGAGAGAGGCTCGACCCATGTAGCCTTTTCATTGAAACAGACGTTCACATTATTCCTATTTGATAGGTAATCAGAGATCGGTCTTCATAGTCCACCACAAGCAAACAGTGATATGCCGCGACAGCCGCGGAAGACCCACTCGTAGCGATCAGCGGGTGACCGTGTAGGTTTTATGGTACGTCAAGATAAGTCCAGAACATCCAGTTCACCTGTCTTTCGTTTGTCAAATTCACCGCTATCAGATCAGCTGCATGGGATAAGACAAATTGCTGATCATCTGGGAGTTGGAGGGGAATTAATTGCATGTACAGGTTATAGCCAGCTGTGGTCACCCAGCCCGTAGAAATCTTTCCGGGACTCTTCATTTTTGAACCTGGAAACCGGCATTATGCAAATTGGTCTCACAGGACCTGGCTCCCATGGGATGGCAACAACAACGGCACCTACCCCTGGGCATAAATACATAGCAGTTACACTCTCGTGACTTTGTAGGGTTGCTTATAAATGTGGTTAGTTTAGTAGGCATCCCCTTACCAGCTTTGGCGGTGCTTATGACCCTAAGGTGACCTCAATGACGCATTCTGACTCATGTCCGTAAGGCAAAATGGAATAATCTGAAAAGGCTCAATCCCTAAATGCCCTAGACATCGATTTTTGATCTTTTCCAAGTTACCACCTTTCTCCCCCCAAGAAAAAATCGTCTTTTAGGCAGGTGATCACGCTCAAAGTACGCTGGTTGGACAAGTCCGCTGAAGCGCAGGAGTTATGGAACCATATCAATAACTCCATAACACATCACGCTAACACTAGCCGTACGTTTCCTCAAAAACTTCGGTCAAGTCAGGGAGCAGCTACTTGCAATTCACCGCGAGCGGTGGTAGACAGATATGCGCCTCACTGCATCCTGACCTAACGACACACCACCCAACCCTCTCTCTATGGTAGTAAGTGCGCCCTGAATGACAAGGAAATGCCCTGAATGACAAGGAAAGGAAAACGTTAAGGGTGAATTTGAGTACTTTCAGCTTCACTACATGGCATGTTGATATGCGACGGACCTTGCCATGGTATCGTGGACTATACGAAGATGATGGAATATCCGGATTGTGGTCATAAAATCTGTAAATCGTGCCAGTACAACGAAATGAGCGTTCCAAATGCCGACGGTAACATTTGCTGATCCCATGCGAATAAAAAGATTATACGTAGGAACTGTAATCCTTACAGGGTCACCAGGTTGCTGTGTGCCGATGTGTGTGCGTCAAACGCTCATCAATAGGGTACCGTATGAAAAATATCGGTAAGTTTGGCATGATGCCGGCGTTTACAGAAGAAATGGATAAGGGTGGGACCGTGCCGTCGCAATCGCCAAGTCGAAACGATATCTCAGTCGCGTCAGGTCCTCCGTCCTCTATCAGGTGAAGGTAAAGGGCCCTGACAATACTTACCACTTTAGTTTCGAAGGCGGCTGCGATGGTGTATGGAAGAAACCACCGAAGAGTACTTCATACAACACCTTCGTGCCTCTATGAACGTTACTCTTAAGAATTTGCAATTCTTGGACGGGTCAGTTGATAGAGAGAGGTTTGATATGCCCGTAAGCCACCAAAGGGCTCGTTTGATAGGAATTGCTCTGAACATCAAAAAATTCAAGACGAGATTCATGACAGTTGAAGTTCCCTCCACTCGTAACTGAATTTCTACAAAAATTTGGACCTCTGAATATCCCCAACGTGATCCCAGTTACCCATCACTTCACTCAAGCATTGACCGCCACAAGCCTGGTGCGACGACTCGCCAGGCCTGTGGAGGTATATGCCATGATAGCGTGTGGCTTGACAGAGGAACAACTTCAACGGCCTTACCTGACAGCGGTTTCCATAAAAGTACCACCCTCCCTTCTGATTTTCCTGTTTGACCTCTCTAGGCAGATTGGCGAATTTGTGGATATGAAGCTGCTGCAGATCTTGCAAACAACCTAAGCGTAAGGGATAGGGTGCAATCGTCCAAAAATAACTATTCATTTTCTAAAAGTCTGATTTTCATAGCTCAACGTTTATTGTTGTAGGCGTGAAGCTGAAGCAAAAGGTACACCATTTATTGGCGNATTGGCGAATTTGTGGATATGAAGCTGCTGCAGATCTTGCAAACAACCTAAGCGTAAGGGATAGGGCGCAATCGTCCAAAAATAACTACTCATTTTCTAAAAGTCTGATTTTCGTAGCTCAAGGGTTTTCGTTGTAGGCGTGAAGCTGAAGCAAAAGGTACACCATTTATTGGCGTCGCGCAATCATCAGCATCCATTGTGCCGGAAACATGCTCTGTTAGTGTTAGAAATTATTTCACTATTTGCTGAGCTTTCCTTTCTTTACTGTATCCTTTTTACAGGCTGACACATCCGGCAGAACGGCTCCCACCGAGTTACTTCAAGTTCGGATTCTTATACTGGAAAAGGTGTGCTATTTTGAACTGCGTAACACGAATGAGCTAGGGTATTCTCATGGGCGATTGAATAACGAATGTGTCCATCAGAGAACTGGTAAACTTCTTTCTCCCGGAGTTGAATACCCAAACCAACCTGTGGTGATAGTAACGATTTGGGCTTGGCTAGCAGGGATCCTGAAGCCTGTAAAGTGAAAAACCGCAGCCACACATCTTGAGGCCATATCAGGACGCAACGTGTGTGTAAAAGTAGGTTATCGATTGATCGCGCACGTCGTTTTCCACTTCCAGGAGCCTACACAAAGGGATCTAACGTGAATCCGTCTAAATATCAACAAGTGTTGATTCAATAAAGTCTCTGGTGTCAATCAATCCTGCTCTGGGGATGCGCCCCACACTTGACTTTCATTCAAAGTCGTAGTGACGTTTTGTACGGGTATGTAGCCTATGCAATGAATTGCCAGCCAATGTACAAGTCAGTGCTTTAGTCCTCCCAGACGAGGCTAAACCGATTAGCTCACCTTGAAAGTCAGTAGGCCTGCACTTCCCCAAATTCAGGATCCATAGCCACTTTTTCAGCTCCACTCAAGAGTGGTACGACAGAAAATGGAACTTGAAATGCCATCCGATTATCCTATTGGATGTATTTTGCGGGTACTTCAAGAGCGAATGTGAGTTCAATAGAGCTTGCGTTGAGTTTACTCGAACTTGGATACTGTAGTCGCATTTCGTGTTCGGTCAATAGGTTTGTGTTGCAGTGGTTCGATAGAAGGAATCAAGACCTACTATACTAGTGTAAGCCCCATCCGTGGTAAGCAAGATCTGGTGAGTTACTTTTCAAGCCATACTATCTTGAGCTTGAGGGAGACATTTTGAACAAAAATGGAGCGGGTCAGAGGGACGCGTCATGGCTTTGATCGGCGCGGGCGGCAATTATAGTCTCTGTAGGCGTGACGTCGAATCGATACGGTGATCCGACCAAGGGGCAGGATTGCTGGGACGCGCGCAAACTCTGAACGCAGCATGTGTCCTGATTTTCGTATCCCAACTTCTTTGTTGCCCTTATTGACTACTGGATGTGAGTTGCAAAAAAAACCAATTTCAGAATGAGATCACTATCGAACCCGGCGATAGAAAACCGCTCAGTCTTTTGTCGGGCGGTCGTGGTATGTTGAATATTGTGGTTGCCAAACCTGGTGTGCATGTATTCAAGAATGGCTAGCAGAAATCCTATAAATTTTCGATTGATGTGTTCACAAACAAATTTCATAACGTTCAGCCTAGCACCATTATTTCCTGTGTTTCAAGTTGCTGTGTGCTGTTCAATTAATAAATATTTGACTTCAAATCGGCTATTCTGTGTTCAATAGCCTTGAATGATGGCTGAAGTGGTCGAAATGACACTGAAACTACTACGATTTTGTGATGAAATGAACAACTTCATGATAAAAAGCCAATCAATTAGGTATCCGCTCTTTTCCTTGTGGATGAGCCGTACACACGACAGTTGCTCAGAATACGAGAGGCATTTGAATGCGTTGTTCTGACATGCAGTGTTTTACTAGGACAGACTGGAGTTTAGGTCAATTTCTAAGGCTTCTGAAAATGTCTGCGAAGGCTAATAGATATGTATCGTATAAGAGTATCGGAAGTATCGGAGCGAAGGTTGAGATAAATAAGGGCAGCATTTCTCGTACCGCTTCAAACATTTGAAAAAAAAGAATCTCCCAAAGCTCTATCTCTGGGGACAGTTACCAAGTTATAGGGTAGCTCAGCCCAAAACTAGGCGTATTTCTCAAAAAATTTATTATTCCTATTATGACAAAAAAAAACAAAAAAAAGGTGAGGAGAAGTGGAACAGGACGCCATAGAGATAAGTCGACGACCACCCGTGGGCGAAAAGACCAGCCTAAAAGCAATGGGTTGTTTATACATTTGACTGTGAGCGACTTCTCTCGGCGTGATGGATGGCAACTATCTCGACCGTATGGCAACAAGGCGAAGGACTCGATATGGTTTAATGGCCTGATAACCACTTCGAACTTTCATTTTCGTAGCTGGCGACCCATCGGGAGCTGATTTGATGTCAAAAACCTCGGGGGAGAAGGGCCAAATAACGTTAGCGTTACGAAACAATGCAGTATTCGTTATCGAGCAGCGAACTGCTAAAATATGCAAAAATTAAAAAAATATAATAAAAATCAAGGGAGAAAAAAGTTGGGAGCTGAAGAGCTGAGATGAACCCGGGTTTTTATAGGTTTTTAAAGGAGGGTGATGGCCAAATACAGTCGGAATGATTCCTATCCAGTCATTGATATGGCGCAACCGGGCACCCACTGACCCCGCCAACATCTGTTGACGCAGTATCGATTGCATAGTTTGGGGCTACCTCCAGTAGATTACATTGGCTTTCTCGTTCTCTACCATTTTACCATTTTGTGAGCCCTTGCCTCTCTCAGTTTTCAGTTGAGGTAGAGATGGCCTATAATTTATTATATTTTGTAGTTCTACAGGCCTAACCAGTTGACATACCCGTAGAAATCCCCACAAAAAGCTTTGCAACATGAGAATGATAGTTCAGGAAGGAACCCGAAGGGAGGAAGGCGGAGATGACGAGTAAATCCCCACCTCGCCTATCCAACGGTTGTTTTGAAGGCATTCTCTGTACTTTCAGGGTAACTATTTCAGGCTGGGGTAAAACAGAACCGTATGATTCAAAAGAATGAACCGGAGAATTAGCAAAATTGAGAAGAAAATGGAGCCATTATTGAGCCCGGGTCTACTTATTTTAGACCGCATCATAAAGTTTAGTAAGGATGTACTTAATTTTGAGACGTTCACCTTAATGCAAAAGCTGCTCAGTTAATCGTTTTCCATATCGATCGTCGGCGAGCTCCAAATTTCAAAATTTGTATTTGGAGTGTTTATATTTGTTTTTATTTACTTTCAGACTTTTATATTTTTTTTNTTTTTTTTCAAAATAATTACCGGCAAAACTAGAAATCGAAATCCGAAAATGGAGTTCACAATAACATTTCAATGTCATTCGTTGTGAAGAGGCCAAGCCCAAAAATCTGTTTAGGCATTTGTTTGATAACTGAATCATTATGAGTACGGCGCTGTTCCAAGGTTTACTCTGACAATGAATCATCGCCCTAGATCGATTCAACGCGATTCACGTCAACAGCATGCGGTTTTGGGAAATTCAGCTCTCAGTTTGGATTTGCAGCTTTCGGAGCACGTCTGACAAACTGGTTATCACAATTTTTGGTTTGTATCAGCGTGCTCCACATTCGTTCCCCTCCTTCCATGGAGTCTGTTTCCCTTGTGTGTCGCCTCTTTGCCAATTGAGACCTTCTTTTACTTCTCCTCGTGCAAATCATAAGCTACAGAACTTCTTTTATAGTTTCATTCTCCTTCCCTTTCTATTCACAACCGTGAAGGCGAGCACAATTGAGCTTGCAAGAGTTGGAGCGTAACAGAGGCCCCTTGCGGGTTTGAGTCCCGTCCGAATTTCAGTCCATAACTCACCAACTTCGTGATACTTTCAAGATGACACGAATCGCCCACGCGGCAACGGTGTCGAAGCCGGGCGAAGTCATTGCTATGAGAAACTATGAGAGCATCCGCTGAACCCTTAAAGGATAATAATTTATGACGAATTTTATTCATTTATAACGATATTAATTTAAATGTAGAATTTGTGAGCCAGTATAGATAGTCATACCCACTGTGTTGTGGGAGATAGTCAGCCTCTATCGCTCTAATCCTCAACATAGAGTCTCCATTAAATAATATGCCGATTTCTGTTCATTGGTGGTTTATGGCTGAACTTTGATGCTTTATCGCTGCAATGAGTCACTCGGCAAACGTTTTCGAAACCTCTGTTGTTGCTGATTATGGCGGTTGTTGCCATAGTGCAGTTTCCCTACCTCTTTTCTTTGGCAATCATTTCGTATCCTTTTTTTATCATTTCAAAGTGAAATTGAGTATTTGTAGACTTTCAGAAATGCTCAGGAAGCTCTCTCAGCTAAATGATTAAATAACTCCAGGTGTTGTTCATGATCCTATATCTTCCCACTTCAGAAAAAAATTTTGATAGTCCCATCAACTTGGTTAACACATGAGTTGTAGGCGTGTGAAATTTCTACTTTTTTGGAGGTTCGGAATGAGATCATGACAGACTTTTAGCATTTCCTATTGGCCGGTTGGCTTTCAAGGACCAATCATTTCAGGAGATAGTTATTTAATGAAGAATTTGGAAAGGGATTTATGAAACCGTGCAAGAGCTCAACACATCCAATCGATTTATCGGTTTTGAGCCGAAGTAAATGCATAGCTCACGCCTGAAGTTCAATCGTTCAAAATGTTTTGCTGTTACACATAGTGACAGTGTTATCTACCATCCGTTGGTTTTATGAAATTTCTTTTTGCTGAAGAATCATACTGTAGCAATATCCTGTTTTGAAAACTGTTGTTAGGACCGTCTTTACGATATCCACAGAAAGGTTGCAAGTCGAAAGCATTTGCTGGGAACATGGTGAACGTTTGGGGTGGTGGTTGCTATTGGCAATCACAAGTGTCCTTGGAAACATTGCTTAGCCCGTACCTTCCACTACTGCTGAATCGTTTTCATCGACAAACGCAGTGAATGTTTGTAGCGTTTCCACTAGTCGTTTTTTTTCTGACCGGTCTCTTCTTATCGCGGTTTGGCTGTCCTAATGGGGAGGGTGAGGGGGGAGAGGGGAGGGAGGCGGTTGGGGAGATGATGCAGGAGAATTTGTAAATTTGGTGTTTGTAGCGAAAGTTACTCCAGTACCAATGAAGTAAGACCTTAAACCGCTGTCTGCAATGTTTTTGAAGTTCGTCCACCTTCGAGTTGGTGTTATAAGGGGAAACAGTTGTGTAGTTGACTAATAGTATATTTATCATCTCGTCTGCTCCCTCTTATATGCACCACTACTGCAACTGCCTCACACCCAAAGCCCGGAAGTGATACAATCACTCTTCAGGTAGGAAATGAAAGGGTAAGGGGGGGGGGGGGGGGGGGGGAGAGAGGACGATAAACAGCTCGCCAACAACGAAAAGCTTATCTGTGAGACTTCTAGTGACAGTAAGAAGGTGGTTCGAACTGGTTTCATTGCAATATCATCACTTGCAACCTCATTTTTGAACTGTTCAGATCAATGTGCTCTTCCTAACGTTGCCACTTTAGCTTTCTTGACGGGTACAGGGGTAGGGGCAAATAGCGTAGAAAGTCAGTTTACATGGAATTTGATCCAGCTGATAGTGTTTGGGCTCACCTACATGTAGAACTTTGGCCTTCAAATTGCTGACTTCCCGAATCTGATGATGACATGAAAAAGCTGACGTAAAGGAGTTTTTTCTCAGTTTTCTGGCTTAGTCTATGTATTTTTCAAACTCTTCTTCTTCTGTTCTTTCTTTTTCTTTTTTTTATTTCTACCTTCTCAGCCTATCGTACTCGCACTACTCCCTTGTTAATCATCCCTTATTCCGCTGTTGAGTCCTTCTTTTCATAACCTGCTTTGTACGCGAAATTTACATAAGTTTTCAGTGAATAATGGCCGATTTTGCTGTTGAATTGTTGAAATTGACACCAGTGGAGGCGTGCATGGTAATGTCACCTCTGTCCATGGTGGCTGCACTTTCCGTTCTAGAACGAGGAGCAGGTGGTGCTACGAAAAGTCAAGTCAGTGATGCCTTGAAGAGAAGTACGAAATTGCTTCTTAGTATGATAGTTGATCGAAACTAAAGGGACAGGGAGGCCATTGAAATTTATTAGAGTTTTATGTCGTCTAATGAATCAGGGACACTAATGTTGGTCAGATTGGCTCTGCAGGCTTCTGGAGGAGCAGAAATATTGCTTGGTAACGTGGCGTGAGTGATACCGTAAAACGCTAGATTTGCTTTGAATTTCGGATAGAACACTCCCTCCCTTCCCCTTTCTTTGCACTCTGTTCTGAGGCGATCTTCCCGTCCTCTTCCTGCCTCCGCCCCCTTTGCCCTGTTCTCCCTCCCCGCCCTGTCGCATTTTTTCAAAGACTACACTGATCGGCGAACTTCCAATTAGGCCTTATAACAAGCAACCGTAGCCTTAGCTTCTGGAGAACCTCCGGAAACACTCGGTTGTAAAACCACCTTGAAGCTGTTCTACTTAATGAGCTCTTAATGTTTGCTTTGAAAGAGATCTGAGAGGTTTAACAAAGTGGAAGGCCCTTTTTTTTCTGCGGATACCACTGTCGCTGATCTTCAACTTTCAGCATCCAACGATGATGTACCGGAGCTGATTCGTCAACTTGCGTCTGCCGATGGGGTTCTAATGAACGTAGCGACGAGATTTTACCTAGCTGATTGTAAGATATTTTTGATGTTTGCTTTCTTTCTGCGAAAACAACAAGTGCTTGAGTCAGATTTCAAAATTTTCGAAGAAAACCTTTCTCTCTTTTGAAAAAAAAANAAAAAAAAATCCTGAATCAAAATTAGTACGTCAGCAACAAAAAATGTGGGACCTCCACATTTTTTTACAGGTAGTTCTGTAATACTTATTTACTTCTACTCTACTTCTTTCTTTATTCTTGGTTGCATCACCAGCTTTTCTCGAAACTTCACGAAATCCAAAACAAAGCTCAAGAAAGCTTTACGAGCTTCTCATTTTTTTTAAAAGTTTTGATTGGCTTGTTCTTGAGTCCGTTATGCTTCTCTAAGCGAGGGGGTTTGTATTGCGTTCCTTTAAAAAAAGAGCTAAATAACTGAAAAATAGCTGTCGAAGTTATATTCTTTACAATTTTCAGCTACCACCCTTCACGAAGAGTACAACAACCAAATATCAAAGGATTTCGATGTGACCGCTGAGCGACTGAATTTCCGAGATCAGAGTCACACTGTACAGGTTGGTATTAGTCCGCACTTCAAATAGAATTGTGACTGAAAGATTGTGACTTCGTTCGGTACCATTTGTACTTGTGAATATGTGTGCCTATCGATTCAAGGGTTCAACGTAAAGAAAAGCTCTGTACGGTTTCTAGTACACTTCTCAGTTGTTGTAGAACACGGATCATTTCAACAATTGACCCTAATACATATAATAATAGATTCATCTGGAATTAGAAACACAAGCATCGGAATCTGAAGTGGGGCCCTATCCTCGATCTTCCCGATGAACTTCGTTTATGGGCGTGATCCTTCTTATGCGGGGTTTCGGTTTAACAATGATGTTTAGTATTTATTTTCCAACCACGCAGTCAAAGATTCTGCTAGTAAATAAAAATCATAGGCAAAGCGGACCATTTAAAACTCGTACCGAAAGATAACAAGTCATCTTCATAAATACTGGATTTCAGACGATAAACAGCTTTGTGTCGGATGCAACACATGGAATGATCAAAAAGTTACTGTCCGACGATTTCTATGCTGCGGACATGAAAGCTTTTCTGGTTAACGCCGTTTATTTCAAAGGCCAATGGGCTAAAAAATTTTCGGAGGACTCCACAAGAAAAGACGTCTTTCACGGAATCAAGGGTGATCGAGAGGTACGCATCGAGCCTTTAGAATTTCGGCTGCATTGAATGTGGAGGTGTGAAATGCTGTGTGATGGGCCTTTGCTCTGGGATACGCCACATTTTCGACATTCGTACATAATTACAAAAATGCCCCAAATCGCAATCAGCCTCGACACGGTCCTCCGTTTTGGAATCGGGGAGCTTCCAACTCGTTTTCGATCTTCCAACCAAACAAAGCAACTTCGGTCATTCTGCCATGTTTGGGAATATGCCAAGGCAATTGAACTCACTGAAGTCTTAATGTAGTGTTTTCAGGAATCTTTCATGAATATGAACAATGTGAAGACTTGTCGTTATGGCCAGAGTGATGGCGTCCAAGTGCTTGCCTTGGAATATAAGGTAAGAATTCATATTCATACATAGGTGTTCTGCAGTGAGCTGCTTAAGCTAGTGATAGGTCGGCCTATGGACTACGGTATAGCTTCGTCATGCTAGTTGTTTTCCTTGAAATCCGTACTACGTTCAAGAATCGGAAAAGTTGGCTGCAAGATCGCAAAGTATAAACGGTACTCCACTCTCAGAGATCAATTACCATGTCTTTTTAAGGATAAGAATTACGAGTTCGTCATCTTTCTGCCTTCCCAAGATGTTCCGTTCGCCCAATTTCGGGAATCAATCACTGGCGAGAAAATCCGTGAACTCCTTGGGCAAGCAAGCAGCGGGGGAGTAGATGTAAGTCTCCTTAGAGTTAACTTTTTTTATTCAAGTCACTTTTACTCTTTGCTCCATTTTCTTCAAAATTGGCCTTGTTTTCTCAATTCTTACATTATAATTGAATTAATTTTATTTTTGCATAACACACCTCACTATTATTTCGTTTGATCCACTTTTTATTCGGAAAAAAGTTGTTTTCTAACTTTTGTGAATGGGCTCACAAATGAAAAGATTTTAATCTGTTGTCACCTGAAAATAATGACTAGATAGCCATTAGTGCGCCATACATTCGCGTTTCTTACTGTTTTGTTGAAATAATGGCATGCGAATGTCACAGGCATATAAAACTCGTTGTTTGCCAGTTGTTTTGACTAGCTAGGGTAGAGGAATCAAAAAAGGCTGAGGCTTTTACAGGTGACCATCCCAAAATTCAAATTGTCTTCGTCACCCAACCTGAAGAGTATGCTGCAGTCACTGGGTATCACAGATCTGTTCAAGGGAGGAACATGTGATTTGCATGGAGTGTCACCGGATGAGCTCTATGTCGCCGACGCTATTCACCAAGCCGTCATTGAGGTTCGCTCTTTTAGTACATATGCCTGACCCAGACATAAGATCCTAACCATAAAATCCAACCAAACCCAAAATCCTTAAAAACCTGGCCGCGCGCGGACGCAGCGCGGCCCCGCATACGCCACAAGTGATTCGTCGCAGAGCATCAAAAATTATGAGCAAATTGCCAATTAGAACGCCAACTATTAGCTTTAATTGTTTATTTGAATCTCATCGGAAGTTCCATCCCATGAAATTTGAATGTAACTACCGTATCGATAAACAGCCTAGGCTTAGTGGTAGCGGAGCGGGGTGACAGCTTTTATACTCGGATTCCCACGGTCGCAGGCAACCACGCATTAGCGACTTCGCGGCAATTGCTGTCATCATTTACTGAGATTTCAAATCTTACCCTCTACTACCGCTCCAAGACGCGGCGGATGGCCTAGATCGACACGTCGTTCATGTGTAAGATCCCATACCCGGTATGGTCAGATCGCTTGATTTTCAAGGTTTAGTTCGAAGCGGTTTGTCCAGATCGCAGTAGCGATTTCTTGCCCTTCAATGTTTCTGTTGTTTTGGCCAATTCACAGTCCTCTCCCTACAGGTCGATGAGAAAGGGCGTGAACCTGATCCAATGGCTGAAGCGGCGGCAAAGCGAATGTTCACACTACGTAATATTCATCCACTTTTCCGTGCTGATCATCCATTCCTTTATGGAGTTTTCCGCGACCACAAACCTATCTTCATCGGACAATATTGTTAGATTTTTGACTTTCTTGGGTTGGGTATGTACCCTTGTTGATTTCATCTACGAATCATTGCCGATATCATAGTACATGCACATGTACCCATTTCTTTGACTCATTCCTTTCCTTTCATTTCCTTCTGTGGACTATTTTATGTCTCGCTGTGCCGCCTGTAAATAATCAGGAGCTTTATGTTGCCTCATATTCCATCAGAAACCTCATCTTTTCAACTTATTCGCTTTGCCATGACAAAACGCCTTCCAACATTTGCCCATGCCTTTTACTTCTATGTGCCGTACGTTTTCTAATAAATCTGAAAGTGTTGAGTGCTAGACAGATTATTTCTACATTCCGGGGTTACCGAGTGGGTGGTCGTGGGAATGAGTCCAGTGCCTCTGCTCTGCTACGATTATATCGAATACCCTTTAACTTGATAAAGCATTTTTAGGGTCGGTTAAATCAAAGCAAGGCGTCTAGACCTGGTGCTACGAGGTGCTAGCCTTTCTACCAGATTTGGGTGGCAGGCATGCACGCGGTAGCGCTTTCGCAGCTATACTACCGTAATCTTCTCCTTGAAATTTGAAACCGCTCTTCCCGACGCGATGTAGGGACCTGCCTCGCGTTGAAGCGACACCTAGGTCACTTGCCCCTACCGCACATCATTCACAATCTTTGATCCTTTCAAAGACGAATGTCTCCCATTAAGGTAACCGAAGAGGGGACTGAAGCGGCTGCAGCGACAGGAGTTATGGTGGTGAATCTCTCAATGCCGATCAATGATAGATTCATNGCTGACCGACCATTCATTTATGGTATTTTCCGAGAGAGCGAGCCCATCTTCATCGGTCAATATTGCTAAATATACCATTTAATCTCACCCCATACTAAATCAGTATTGTTTTTTGTTGTTGTCCTTTTGATAAATGTTTGGCTTTGGGTTGACATGGCGAACTAGCAAAATGACGCAAGTCGACAATGTTCACGATAATTTGTGTTCATACTTTGCACTAACCACGAGCTTCGGAATCTGTGAGAAAATTTAGGAAAAGTTGGAAGAGTATCGACCTTCTGCATCACATTTTCGCTCTTCGAGAATATGAGGGATTACTGAGAAGCGACTTCAATTGTTTTCACCCAAGATTGAGGTATCAGCGAGAAATTGCCATCGCGGCAACCGATTGCGGCGGTAGGGCACCGCATGCAGCTGCGCTTCCTTTAATCAATATGCATCTTTACTACTCTTCAAATCCTTTTCTCCATTGCAATGCAACGTTCTCTTGAATTTCTAAACTGGACTAGACTGTTTTGCGATTATTCTTGCACTTTAGCCCACTTCATCAACGATTTCAAAATCTTGTTAGATTGAGTTCTGAAAGTCATTGTCTCCTTCATTTCCTTTTGTCCATTTGTCTCTTCCTTGTCTGCTTAATCTAGGAGCTAAGCAACCCATAGGTACCCTCTTCCCCAACCTCTTTCCTGTACTGCCATTTCATTTTTTCTTTGTTTGCTCTAATTATAGTTATATGGTAAAGGCCACACTCATGCCTCTACTATTGTTCATCCCATCAATGTAGACAGAATAAGAATTGATGGAGTCAGACTGATGGCCAGTGCCCCTGCTACCATACGCTTGTTTTATTCGAATCCCTCCAGATTACTATAGCCTTGCTTCAGAAAAGCGTATACCCAAAATAGTAACTCAGAAACTCCTTATTGGTTCATTTAAATTGTAGGGATCTAAGTGATAGGTAACCTGTTCTGCTCATCTCCGCGAACTACTAGCCCAGCATCCCTTTCCAAACTGACTAGGAAGGGAACGCAATCAGCTGCAGTTACTAGTAGCAGCCTCTCTATATAGTCACGTGAACGAAAAAGTTAATAAAAGCTAATTTTTCGAACCCTCCTGTCCTTTACCAAATACCTACCCTCATTCAGGTAAATGAAGAGGGTACAAAGGCAGCAGCAGCAACTGGAATTAAGATGATGAAACGTGCCAAGGTGATCAGCTTACGCTTCTTGGCAGATCGGCCGTTTATCTACGGTATCTTCCGAAGAAGCGAGCCCCTTTTCATTGGACAGTACTGCTGCTCCATACAACCTCTCCATTCGCCGTCCACATCATTGTTTTCTATAGCCAAAATTGTTTTATATGTTGTGATAAATTTTGCGGTAAAAACTCGAGCCCACATTGAACATGAGTGATAAGGACGGAAGGATTTTTCACAGGAAAGGCTCAGGTGTGAAGGTGGTCAGCAGAAACTTCTGTAGGCAAAGTGCCTTTCGAAGGATGTCCCTTCCCTTTCTACTGGTGTGATACCAACGGAGTTCTCAAGTAACACAGGAAGCGTAGGTCCTAGGGAGGGACGGTTTTGAAAAAATCTACAACTTTGAGCCCTATAACTTAATCGCATGGAGGTGGTGTATGACTAGTGACCTCAGCCCGCGTAAGCACCAAGCCTTTCATCCCTTCACGGTTGTTTATTCA